AATTTATTGATATGCTAGTATGATGATTGATTTTGTTTGTTGTTATTTAATTGTGTGTACTCTAACAATGTTTTGCATTATGATGAGGATAATGATGATGTTTCCCTTGTGTTGTTAGTGTTGTGCTTACTTGTGCATTGTTTTCTCAGAATTTGGCTGAAAGACATGATATAGCTTAGTTGATGCTATTCATGATTTCTTATTTGTTTTGATACTTCTTACTTACGTAAGAGGTAGTGGTTGAGTGGTATCGCTCGTATTGCGAGCATATGTGCCAGTAGTAGTGGATGGAGTCTTGCTAATCAACTAGAACTATATTAGGACTTTGAATGTGGGTGAGACATTGATTTGTCGAGTGTATTAAGAGTTTACGATTGGTAGATTTTCTAAAAGCTATAGTTGTAGTGATTGAATCCAAGAGGTTATGTGTCGAGCATTAGAGCTTTGAGTGTTCTTGATGAAAGGTCAAAGTGTTGGTGATTTCTTTAAGTTTTGATGTTTGCAAATTAATCTTGTTAGGGGTTAGGTTGCATGTGGATTTTATTTCAGCTCTAAGTCTTTTGTGGCATAGGTGAGTTATTTTCATTTAGGGATTGTAGTTGGAAGCTTGGATATGAGTTTAAGGTAGAAAGAAGTAAGTTTGGGAGGGTTGAGGTATTTTGTGGGATGTTAGTGCACTATTGTTGTCTAGTGTAGGAGATGTTTTCGCTGTAGTTTTGTTATGCCAGTAGGAGTACCATATTGATAGATTTAGATTTTGTGGTCTTCATGAAAGTTGTAGTCTTGGGAGTTATCTTTTCAATGGAACTGGAATCAGGTAAAATGAAGGTTTAGAACTCCAGTTATAGTTATTTTGGTAATCAGAGGCTAGTTGTAAGCGTTAAATATATCTGCTGCGGTTTTTGAAATTTTAGCTAAGAAGATGATCTTTTTAGAATCTTATGTTTTCATAGGAGTTCTAGCTTATTCTCTTAGCTTTCTTTTGAGATAGGTTTGAGATCATTTGGATGACTATAACTCTCTAGGTATCATTTTCTTTGATCGTTGTTGAAGGGATATGTATGGTGTCATGATATTTTTGAATCGTTAGGCAATGCAAGGATAAAAATTGATTTTTGTCATGATTCTGAGATGTCTTGTAGATTGAGAGGTTGTTTAAGGTTGTATGATATTATGTGGTAAAGTTGGTTCACGTACATGCTATATGGAGTAAATGGTGGTTGATTCGTACATGCTTAGGAATGATATATATCGAATATTTGAAATAGGTATTCTAATATGATTTGTATATGGAGATATTAGTGGATGTTTGTGTGTTTAGTAAGGTTGACCTCAAGGTGTGATATCATCAAATTGGAGTTGAGAGTGAGGATTTATCCAAGACAGCTTTAGGCTAATTTATCTAAGTATGATTTTGATTGTAGGAGGTGAGTGTTCTAGGCCTTGTGATTCTAGGCAATTGAAAACTCATGAGAGGAATTACTTTACCCATGATTTTAAGTTAGCAGTTGTAATATTTAGAGACACTTAGAGACACTGCCTATATGATTCTAAGATTGAGGTATTTATTGATCGTTAGAGCCTTAATTATCTGTTGACTGAAGGAGTTAATTATGTGACAAAAGAGAGCTAGAGTTTAATTTCTGGAGGACTAATATTTCAAACTTAGTTGTTAATTAAGTAAAGCCATTGTGGTGACCGATGTTTTGTGTAGGAAACCTTTATATTTATCTTCCCATTAAAAATGGGAATAGGGGTAGATGATGGTTGAATGGTGTTAGCCATGGATTAGAATTTGTTTTTTTGAAAGTTGGTAGAATATTGGGAAATTTTTTTTTGGAAGTAGTGGGGTAATATTTCTACCCCTAGTAGATGATCGAACGTAGCTCTGGTACCACTGTTAGTTTATGAATTATCAAATAGAAAAAAATTATTTGATTAGTAGAAGGAATGAGGGGAAAATTTAAAATGATAGGCTTAGTTGAGAGGAAAACTAGTTTAGAGGAATAGTTGGAATAGATTTGAGTAGTGGAAATGACTTACTAGTTGCTTGGTACAAATGTTGAGTACATGGCATATTTATAGACCTCAACACATCATTCATGTTTTATCTACATAATTCTAGAGTTTGTATCATCTAGTAGTTAGGTTAGAGCCTTAATTATCTGTTGACTGAAGGAGTTAATTATGTGACAAAAGAGAGCTAGAGTTTAATTTCTGGAGGACTAATATTTCAAACTTAGTTGTTAATTAAGTAAAGCCATTGTGGTGACCGATGTTTTGTGTAGGAAACCTTTATATTTATCTTCCCTTATGATCAGAGAGATGAATCCTTTTGGCTCAAATTAGAGACTTAAGTTGGGCTTATAAGGTTACCTTTAGTAGTGTGAGACTAAGTATGACTTGAGTAACGAATGGATTGTTGAAGGAAATT